TTGATGGAGGGCGATCGTCATCGAGTTTGTCGGCTGGTCGGCAACTCGCGGACGTCCTCACCAAGCCGCTTTCGGACGACTTGACTCACGGAGTGAAGGAGATGATCGGCATGGAGGGGTGCAAGGGTTAGCGATGAGGATTAGGGAAGATTGTTAGCTAATCATCGCCACCTTGTGTGAAACACAATGAAGGAAGGCGGCACCGACTTTGCCCCTCTTGTAATACAATAGCCATGCAGTATGTGCAGCGCCATGATGGCTCACCTGCGGCCTTTGTGAGGCACATCTGATGGCAACAGAGTCAGCCATGATGCTTATCTAGTTACATTATTACGAAGATATGTCTGTACTGCACTTTAGTTAGATAGATAGAGTTGTATAAATAGGGCACCAAGGCAACTCGATAAAGAGAGCTCAGATGCCATCACACGACGGGGCCCCTCGGTCAACGTTGTTGTCTTGTATTGTGCGTGCTTGCTCTGTTTCTCCCTTCTTCTTCTAGCTCGATCCGTAGTGTGTGGGTACGGACACAAACCAGGTATAGTGGTGCAGGGAGACTAGTGGTGCAGGAAGACTAGTGGTCTGGTCTGGGAGACTAGTGGTCTGGGAGACTAGTGGTCTGGGAAGACTAGTGGTCTGATCTAGAAGACTAGTGGTCTGGGAGACTAGAGGTCTGGAAAACTAATGGTCTGAGACTAGTGGTCTGGAGACTAGTTCACTATCGTCAGACGGTGATCCCGTGGGCCAACAAAGCTAACTTATCATTGTATAATTACAGGTCGATTTCGATGAAGATTGATCATTGAAGGTAACTGTAAGAGTTCACTACCACAATTCTGTTTTTGTAATCAGACCATTCTTTTATGCAAATCCCAATTGTGTGTCATTCATAGTTTGCGAAAGATATTTTCCCATCCTTTTTGCTTTACTTTGTTGTTCAGTTATATTGCATTCTTACACTCGGAATAGTCGTGCAAGAGATATTGGCATGAGATGCGGTTTAAGTCTCAACTTCCAATTATGCAGTGCATCTTTGGAAATGTAATCTGGTCAGTTACCTTTAGAGGGACTGACTTCGGGAGAGTTTTCCTTTTTTATATTTTTATTTTGCTTCAGCATCATCTGTTCTAATGTGTTTTGTAATCAGACTCCGTACCGTGGTTGGACGTGTGCTATTCTAACTTGTATGAGAATGGGTCGTGAGTTTGGGTTACGGATGGGACAATAAACCTATTAGCACTTTAATCTCTAATTCATCATGTACTACTACTAAAACCAAGTAGGACTCATGCTCTGAAGAGTGGACAAACACATGGACAGGGAGAGTGGGCTCGCTGAGCCCATCAGTTTCAAGGTTTACAGCATCATCATTTACAAAACTGTTTACTGATTACATAGAGGCAAAATTTTTGCTTTTTAATATTAGGTATAGATGGATGATAAACCACATCCATTTCCATTTTTTTAATTTTTGGCGAAAAAATGGAAAAATAAACTATGTACCTCCTACCTTGCAGTAGTGCTGCTTTAGACAAGCTGCAGCCTGAGTCTGCCACATGTTTGTTAGCCACCGCTCTTTGAGCCGTGACTGATTGGAGTTGGTTCTTTTTTCACAGGATTGTCATGGTTTGCTGCACCGCCAGCCTACTTGGGAGTTAGGATTCATTTGCGATCGCAGCATAGACAAACAGATGGCCAGTTTTCTCCCATTTGGAGTATACTGCAACCCTGTACTGTGACATTCGTATATGCCCTTGGGCGTCATAAACTGTAACCCCTGCTTCCAGCTGCCCGACTGAAGCATGCCACCCCACCGCCAATTGCATTGTTTGTCGAGCATCCTGTGACGCTTAGAAACAAAATAAAGTCTTGCTGAGTGTAGTGTATCAGCGTTGTTGTGTCGTGTTGTGTGAAATTGTACTTGAGAGCAGATTATATGTCGTGACTGTTAATAGGAATGTTGGTTGTGCCTGCCATTGTTGCATGCCCTGAGGAAACATGAGGCGGCATGATCGAAGTGATTTGTCATTTGTCTCCTGGGTAGCTGCAGGTTGATCGACGCATGCATGAGGATATAGGCCAAAAACGGCTGCTGTGTACTAGAAGATAGTTGTACAGCTAACCCCCTGTAACTTGAGTGTATTTTTGTAGTTAACGTTTCCTTGTCTGTATTCTGTATTATGGAATGTTTCACCGAAGAAGGTGTTAATTTGGTAATGAAATACAAGTACATCCATTGGTCTGTTGTTTGATCTCGAAAGAAATATTTTACTGGTGCTATAGAAGTGGTGAAGTTTTACGGTGGGAAATGTTTTCTTGAATTGAAGCAGAATTTACTTATTTTACAAATAGAGATGCTGGCATGTCTCCTTCCATCACTCCAATGGAGACGGTTACACCGGTAATCAGTGCGTGCCATGGCAGGAGTAGAGACTAGAGACAGCAAGTGGTAGCTGCTGGCATTGGCATTGGCATTGGCATTGGGAGCAATGCTTGCAATGCCGATGCATATGCATACACGGTTGGGTGCGTGGGACGGTGGGTACTGCACGCCTGCACCCGGCCGTGTCCCGCGGCTTTTGTGCTGCGGCGGTGCTTGCTGCCTCGACAAACAAGCATGGCGCTCGTCCATCGCTTCGCTTCCCTCCCGGCCGTCTGAGTCTCTGATGCTGTGCCCACCTTGCTCTCCTGCGTCACAGCAACATCTGAGGCCTCATTTGTTTCATTCAAGGGCCTGCAACTCACCGTCACGGCATCTAGAGTTTCCAAGACAGAGTTGTCCTTGATCGTACCGCTAAGATTAGGGCCTCGTTTGGATGCTACGTAACTTTTCACACTTGCAAATAGCTTCCGCTTGTAATTGTCAGTGCACAAGAATACCATTGATTTTGTTTTCACCTGGAAAATGTCGTTTGGCTGTAAAATAAATTGAGGCATTGGTGCCATCTTGCACTGACGAAACTCCCTGGCGAAGAGGGAGTCTGACGGAAGATCAACCACCCGCCGCCTTCGCCTCATCCTCCTCCTCCACGGTGTTGAGGTCAATGCCCGCCATGGCCCCGGTCGGCCACAGCAGCTGGCTCCATGGAAGAAGCAGACGACGGCAGCAAAGCGCCGGTGCGGCGAGGGATGGAGCCGAGGAAGCGAGCGAGGAGTATCCGAGTAGGGCAGAAGGGTCACAAGAGGGCCAAAATACATGTATTTTGATTAACAAAGTGAAGAAATACGTCAAATGTCATCTAAAATAAGAAGCTAACGTTTCAAGGGTCATTTTAACGAAGTTGACGATTGAAGTCCTATAATTGCGAAGCTGGTGTCCTATAATTACAATTTTCTCGTTTAATTTTACACCGGTTTTATCTTAATCCCGATGTAAAACTAATGTGCTCACCGATCTTCCAAACAACTAATTTTAATATAGGTTGAAAAAAATTATTAGACCTGCAATTTATAAGTGTTTTAGATCAAATACCAAACTTCCAAACAGGGCCTAGATAAATTCTTACTCCATTTCTTAAGAGCTTGCCTTAAAAGTTTAAACTTGGCTAAGATTCTAGTAGCACTATTGTTTGCTCTAACATTGATGTTTCAGATCGACCGAACAAGATAAAGAAATCTAGGGTGTTGTATCCAAAAGTTCTCAAATCTAAAAACTTCTGATTTCGGGATTGAGGTTTGTAAGGAATGTGGTCCGAAGTTGGCCTTACCATTGGAAGCATCAACGTATTAGGGTAAGTGGAGATCCAATTTGCGGAGGTGAAGACCCAATCTATTTGTTCAAGCAGGGGAATAGACTGCATATTACTCTATGTGAAGTTTCTACCTTTCAAGGGAATTTCCAGGAGTCCCAGATTACTAATTATTTCGTTGAAAACCATGATATCATTCATGTTACCACCATCTTTGTTTCTATTTGACAGGCTTATGTAAAAATTAAAATCCCCAAGGATCATCCAGTTTTCTTCATCATCAATCTGCAGGTTGTTCGGCCACTCAACGAAATCATCTCTAGATTGTCCTTGGCAAGGACCACAGACCGTGGTAAGTAGCCATGATTGTCCATTATGCACCGACTTAAATTTTATTGTAATTACAAATATGTTGTTATGTATCGTCCCGCCAGTGAAGATGGAGCTGTTCCATCCAACAAGGATACCTCCCGAGGCACCAACTGAAGGGGAAAATTCAAATTTATTGAAACGCTATGGAACCAATTTCTTGATGGAGTGATCGAAATGATCTCTTTTGGAATCTGAATACAGAACACTGCACAAGAACTCTCCTCTATTTTCTCCTTGATCGTATTGCATTTATCTTCAGAATTGAGACTACGAATATTTCAGTTTAAGATGTTCCAGTTTCTATCTATTGATTTTGTCATTGGCATTGAACCATCTTTTAGCTCCATGCGAGTAAAAGCATTGCGACCTAGCTACAGATTTATATTCATTTAAAAAATGCTCCGTATCTATTGCTATCCAGAATATGACCCTAGCATTAATGGATTTAATATATTGCAGAACATTTCTCTTGGGAGGAAAATTAAATGTTTACATTGGTCAACCAGAAACAAGCACCAGTACAACAAAAATTAGTTACTTTAATAAACAAAGGATAACGTACACATCCAGCAAAATTGGGGAGACCATCTGATTTATATAGATAAACAAATTCTAAAGCCAAGTAAAACTACAAAAAAAATCTGAAATGATATTTTAAAAAACTACTGTGGTAAAATCACTAAGATTCACTAGTGATTCTTCTATGGCTCTCTTTTGCAGCCAAGACATCTTTTAATCTTCAGTAGGGTTCCAAGGTCCATGCACTATATCTTCTCTCTTCTGAACCGACAAATATTTGTTTATCTACAAACATGGATAGATGCATTGTGGTGACAGTAAAAAATCTACATTAGTGCAGCTGTCCAAACAAGACAACATTTTACTCACCATTCCAGGATATGCAAGAACCCAGGGCTTGAAACACTGCAAGGATAAATGTCAAATCTGTGCAACTCTATATATCTCCCCAAGAGCAATAAAGTAGTGACGACCTGTAAAACCAACATAGATGGAAATTTATAGTTGACTTCTATCTGTGAAGATAAATGATCCCAAATGAATGATAAAGCTTTTCTGGACGTGCAAAATATTTGTACCTTCAGAGATTACTCTGTTGCAGACATTTGCATGATAAAATTCTTGTCAAAGCGCCGCACCATGCTTCAGTTCTTGGGCACAGGACCAAAGCATACTGTACCATGCACTGACATAATCACCAACTGCAATATCCGTGTCCTCCGTTGCCTGAAATTAGGTATCAGACAGGTCAATACATTGTTTATTTTCTTATTCAAAATCACATCAATCATGTTAGCAAGAAACAGAAGGTATATTGCAAGATTGGCTGCACAGAATGCAGATTAGATTGTAAATGATAGGAAATCATTCAAGAAAACTTTTTAGAGTCAGTTTGCCAGAAGGGATTAATTATGATAATATTAAAATAAAATAATGATGCCAAACTGAACAGAGGGGGAAAAAGTGGTTCAGCAACAAAAAAAAAAGAGTGTATTGATCTTTAGTTGGAACTATAAATTAAGGAAGAAGTCCATTCAAGACTCAGAAATTTCCAAGGAAAACTTCGTATGTGATTTTTGGATTGCCAACAGTAGGGAGAGTTCCTATACAACATACTGATAATGATCAGAAACTTACACAGCATAGACGATGACAGTATGATACATACCCATTCTATCTTTTCTGCTAAACAATATTCTTGTTCAAAATCCTTCATATGTTCCTCTTTGATACAATTAAGGAGTTCTGTGATATATACATCCTTCCAAGGCTGTTCCTTTGTGAAAAGGCCTTTGGGCAGCGAAGAATCTTTTAGTTTGTCGTATATTTCCTGGAAGTTGATGGAAAATGGATTAATAACAATGATTACCGGTTCTCGAGTTGATGCACACGAACATAAGATTACACAAAGAAAAGTTATGGTCAAGGCAATCCTTCAATATATTCACAAGAAAAATCTCATTTATAGACATAAATGATCAGGAACACACCTGAATATCCCTTCCTATTGCAGTTGCTTTGTTGTTTTCATCAGAGAATGTAGATTCCTTCTGTGCTTCCTGAATGCATATCCTTAGTTACAAAATTATGAAGCAACAAAATACACAAATAATGTCCCTTTATAAATGCAATGTAATCACTGACCCTAAGATCCTTCACGTGCCGGGATATTGCTGTCAAGGACTCTTCTCTCAGCCTATGGTAGAATTCAATCAAAATGCAATGACTTGTTGATCTACTGGAATGGTTGTCATCTGTTTCAAATGATGAGTTCCGATCACTGATCATTAGTGTACATCAAAAGAATATGAAATAAAGTTGTCAGTTGAAAACTTAGATACAAGGAATGCTCACCATTTCATTAATAGAAAACAGATCAAATGAACTCTGGACACTTTCTGCAGAGCTTTGAGCAATGTGAATAGCATCAGCCCGTTCGCTCTCTTTGTACAGGTTGAGTATGGCTGAATTATTAGCTGACGAATAAGTGGAGGCCTTCACAAATTCTCCAGTGGACTCGTGAGTCCCAAGAACATCGGAAAAGGCAAAAATGTAATTCTACCACTCTTCAATTGAAAGGTTATGTTATATTATCCTGCAGTTGACTAATTCATAAATTCAATTTTCAAGTCATACATCAATTTAGTATTAAACAGTCAATCTTACATTCCCTTTAGAATCAACAGATCTGAATGTTTTAAGTATTCATGCAGCAATGGTGGACTTGGTGGCAAGCTTAATACCATAAAACAAACATGTCCAATAGAGAAGTAACAACAAAGCCCTCAAAGCTCCAGTAGCAAATCCCTCCATGTTAGAAGCCCACAACAGGGGAGAATAAAAAATAATTTGATATTCCCATTGAGGATGAATATGCAATTTTAATCTTGAATAAAAGAGTTTTAAAAATTATGAACCTTAGATAAACACGATAACCCATTGGAATATCAATGTTGAATAAAATTCAGTTGTAAGACAGTTAGCACTTCTCTGGAATCTAGATTCAATGTAATTTATAAAAGGTTGCAAGAGGTGGCACCTTGCAAATATAACCTTTACAGGACAAGAGACCATGTACTCTCAGTTAGCAATTTAGCACCGTAAAACCGGGAAAAGGTATCAATCATCCCTATGTTCCATGAAAGATTGGTATTTTTTAGGAAGAAACTTCACTTCTTTCTGATACTTCCTCTCTGAAACAATAGAAATCAGCAATGCAGCGGTCGAAGCTTCAAGGGAGAAGTTCTTCTCATCAATTTTGGTAAGGTAGGTTCCAGCCCTTCTCACATCTCCTTTTTCAAGTAGTCTTCTAACTATGGTATTTAGCATACGTGAGTTGGCAGCACAGCCATTCTTCTCCATAGATAGAAAAAGCTCATCAGACTCTTCTAACAAACCTTCTTTTATATGACTTTCGATCATTAAGTTGTATGTTATTACATCAGGCACAGGACCACTGAGCACGATAGACGAAAACAGGCCCTTAGCTTCATCAATCCTACCAACTTTCAGCAAGGCATTAATCATTATATTGAAAGTCCAAACCTCAAGCTGAAATTCTTTTGAACGCAAGCCCTCAAAAATTCTTAGCGCTTCATCAACACAACTATTTTCACAGAGTCCTCCAAGAACTATGTTGTATGTGTTGATTCCCAACTGTGTTCCGCTGTCAACCATTTTCATGTAGAATTCCCTTGCAGCAACAATCCTTCGAGCCTGAAATAACCCGTGCAACATTATGTTATATGTAATAGCATTAGGTTTAACATCCTTGCTGAACATTTCTCTGTAAAGTGCTAGTGCATCATCAACCCTTCCATTCTTACAGTAGCCATTAAGCAAAGCACTATAGGTCGCAATGTCAGGTCGCAAGCCAATGGAGACCATACGATCAAGTAGCTTAATCGATTCATCCATCTTCCCATCTAAGCAATATCCATCTATCAGTATATTATATGAAACAACATCTGGTTTCACACCAGTGCGTATAACTAGATCAAAGAAATCCTGTGCTTCCACAACCCCTCCTTCCTTGCATAGGGTATCCATTATTGCGTTCAGGAATCTGGCATCGGGATGGATGCCCCTATTGATCATTTCAAAAGCAAGTTCCTCAACCTTCTTCCATTCACCAACGGTACAGAGACCTTGTATTAGTGAGTTAAAACTTATGATATCAGGAGACAACCCTTCACTTACCATCTGATTGAAATGGCACACGGCATCCTCCACTCTGCCTGTCTTGCAAAGAATGTCAATTATCGTGTTGTAGGTGACTACATTTGGCCTCAAACCTTTCTGTTGCATTTCTATAAATGCAGCCATTCCTTATCCACCGTTTCATGTTTAGCGTATGCACGTATCAGGATGTTGAAGACACGATGTTCAAGTGGGATACTGTCTCGAATCATCAAATCAAGGAGATCATGCATATCAACAAGAGCTCCTTTTGTGGCGTACCCATGAAGCATACTGCAGTAGGTGGTAACATTGGGGTTTTGACCCCTCCGGACCATTGAATCAAAGATATTCCTAGCTTCTGTGCATCTTCCAATCTTGCAATAATAGTCTATCAGCAGATTGTAAGTGACAACATTCGGTTGAAGACCACCTCCAGACATCTTTTTGAGCAGCCTCACTGCCTCTTCCAACATTCCTAAAGAGCAATATCCATGGATCAGACTATTATATGACCTACTATTCGGCATAACACAAGATCAATGATTGAGTTGTATGTCACAAGATCAGGTGCAAACCCCCGACCCAGCATTTCATGAAACAGGATGTAAGCTTTGTCGACCTCACCTTCTTTAAATAAGCCGTCGATGACCGTGTTATATGATACCACATCGGGAGGGCAGTTGTATCCGCCATCGGCCGTCATGTGACGCAGCAGCTCAAGAGCCTCTTGACTCTTCTTCTCGGCGCAGAGCCCCTTGATGAGAATGTTATAGGAGAAAACATCAGGTGTGCAGCCAAGCTTCGGCATTCGTCTGAACACTATATCCATTGCGTCGCTCGTCATCTTGCCATCACAGAGACCCTTGATTAGCTGGTTGAGGGCCATGACCTGCTCCCTCCATCCCATCTTGATGACCTGGCCAAAGGCAGCAAAGGCGAGGTCCAAGCGGCCGACAGTAGAGAAGCAACGGATGAGGATGCCAAAGGTGCAAATGTTGGCGGCCACCTTATTGACGCCAGCCCGAGCCATGGTATTGAAAAGAGACACGGCGAGCGCAGCGCTGTGACGCAGTGGCGACGAGGAGTCCGCGCGAGCGACGACGGTGAGGACACGATTGAAGGCGTGCACCGAGGCGGGCCTGGCCTGAGGAAGCAATTCATCGAACAGGTTGTGCGCGTCCTCTGGGCCGAGGCTCCCAGAGCGGTGCCTCTCGACGATGATCCGCTCCAGCTCCACGCACGTGCGGCGGCCAGGCCTCACCCCGCGTAACATGCCTGCTGTAGTGGGAGGAGTCAGGAGAGGTGGAATGTATGGGCCGGACCTGGACAGCGTTGGCGCCGGCGCACCTGTGCGCCCAGCGAGAGGAACAGGGCGCAAGAAGGTGCAATTTCCTCGAAGCAGGGCACCTCGATCTCCTCGCAGCAGTGCTGGAGGAGTAAGTGGAGAAGGAGTAGATGCGCTGGAGAGTGGAGACGCCGCCGCCGCCAGGCCCGCCACACGCTATGAAAGAGGTCCTGTGGATTTTGGATATCCAAGGTTTTTAATCCAAACCAATCCGATTCATTTGGATCTCCTGGCAATGGATATCCGGGTCCAAACAATATCCATCCACTTAAATCCAAAACGGGTCCTCCATCCACTAGAAAGACACCATAAGCTCGTACTAGTTCACCACGTTCGTGATCCATTACATTACAGACCGGCCCAACCAAGCAGGTAGCAACCGAATTTGATCCTGAAAAGGATGCAACTAGTTTTGTTCTTAATCACATTGCACTTTGTATATATGCTCCTTAATTTCACCCCTTTCTCTTATTCTCAATATATAAATTTATTTATTTATATCTTCTCTACATTTTTGGGAAAGGGTATATGCATGATATATAGGCCCCGTTTGGCAGGGCTTCACTTCACTAGTGAAGCCATTTTTTTTGGCTTCAGCTCCACGAACAGCTCCACCGGTGGAGCTGAAGCGGTTTTGGTAAACCGTTTGGCAAAATGGCTTCCCTGTAAGAGCATGTTTTTAGGGGGCTGGAGGAGGAGCCGGGAGAAGCCACTATTTTTGGCTCCTTCCCACCCCAAAGCTCTGTGAGAGCACGTTTTTAGGGGCTTCATCGGTGGAGCCGTTTCATTTTACCCCGTTTGGCAGAAAACGACTCCAAACGGCTCCTGAAGCCGCTGGAGAAGCCCTGCCAAACAGGGCCATAACCGTATGTATATATATTCCAGCCTTAACAATTGTCTCAAATCACTTTGGCTCCGGCCGGTGGTATCTCGTCGAGACGGCTGTCCATGACCTCCGAGATGAAGGCAGTCTCGTCGTCGTCGCATCCTCCTCCCCGTTGGCGTTGGGCCTCCGCCTCACGGACGATCTCTTCGATGGCGGACTCCTTGGTTAGCGTCTCTCTGCACAGGATGCTCCCGATGTCGAAGGCGGCGAGGCCCCTCTCCACGCCCTTCTTCAGCAGCATGGTGGCGACGCGCAGGGTGCGCGCGCACTCGCGCGACACCTCCCACCCGTGGAGCCTGAGCATGGCGATGTCCTCCTCCGCGTCCAGGGACCGCACGTACTCCACCGTCTCCTCGCCGAATGGCTGCCGGCACTGAGGCCAGTACAACCACTCGAACGTGCAGTCCTCGAACTGCATGCACGAATTAATCCAAGATGAAGAAGAACCAATGCAAATGAAAGCAGAAATGGATGGATCGGAAGAACTGACGCTCTCAGGGAGGCAGTATCCATGGTCGATGGGGACCAGCGACATGCCGCCGTCGTCGTGCTTGCAGACAAGTATGTTGCCGGCATGGCGATCGGCGTTGGCGAGGCGAATGTCCAGCACGCAGATCTTGTGAACCTCCTGGACCGGGAACGCGCGGGGACCCATGTCCTCGCAGCTGCCGCAGTTGCTGACGAAGGCCTGCATGGATCCCAGCTTGGGCACCGGCGGCGGCGCCAGCGGGCTCGCCTCTGGCTGCCTGAAGGCCTTGTGCGTGCACCTGACGAGCGCGGTCGGCGGGACGCCGGCGAACCCGGGCGCGCCAGCGGCGGCGGTCGACCGGCGGCGGCCGCCGGGTGGGTGGTCGAGGATGTAGGCCGCGACCTCCCTGAGCGCGCCCTCCCCGACGCGCGTCCCTTTCTTGAGCCCTTCGCCGGTGGACGACACGGGGAGGCCGCGCGGGTTGTTGGCGGCCATGGGCTCCTCGTCCGCCGGCTTGAACACTGCCACGTGCCGGTGCCCCGCCGCGTCCTGCATGAAGTAGGCTCCCCCCGTGCCCTCCGACGACATGATGGGCGCGTTCCCGTTCTCCATCCCGGCGACCGCCGCGTCGATCATGTCACGGACCGCCGACGGAAGCTGCGCTGCCGCCTCCTTTGGGTTGCCGACGACGACGGGCTCGATCCCGACGTCACGCCGTGGCAACTGCTGGCCGGCGTCCCGCGCGACAATGGAGACCTCGAAGCCGCCGTCGGCCTCGGCCGCGCTGATCTTGGCCGATGAGCGCTGCACCAGCAGGTGGATGACGGCGCCGTCGGCCCTGCAGACGTCGTGGATGAGGTGGCGGTCGTCGAGGTCCTCGCCCTCGAGCACGAGCCGCTGCTCGTCGGGGTCGGGGCGCGTCGCCGGGTGGAGCCGCCGGTCCTTGGCGATCTGCTGCTTGACGTAGCCGACGGTTCGCCCGGGCTCGACGCGGAACCTGAACTTGCCGCCCTGCACGGTCTCGACGGTGATGAGGCGCAGGTCCGGGATGCGGATGACGAGGTGCACCACGTTGCCGTCGGCCACGCCGTAGTCCCGGATGCGGCCGTCGTCGCGCGCCAGCTCGCGGCCGTCGAAGACCAGCTTCTGCTTGCGCGCCGTCACGCCCCGGGACGTCTGCACGCGGAGCTTCACCGACGCGATGGAGTCGGACGCCATCACCCGCATCGGCATCACGGCGAGCCCCGGCGCCGTGAGGTAGATCATGATGGCGGCGGCGCCGGCGGAGGAGGAGGAGGAGGGCGGCGGGCGCAGCGGGAGGAGGCCCAGCTCGCCGCCGTCCCTCGCCGCGCAGACGACCGTGGCCCCGGCCGCCGACATCGTGTCTGGATCCTGTCGTCCCTCCGTCTCGATCTTGTACAACACAAGGAGGGCGGTCGCGACGATCCGTCCGTGTCGCGATGGGATGGAATTGGTGGAACCCCAACAGGCGCCTTCTCCTTTGTCAATGCAACGAACAAACCTTTCTGCCGGCCGGCACCGCGCGCGCGCTCTGAAGAAAGTAACTACTTGGAATGACGTGGAGTTTCTTCCATGGCTACGTTTGATTTCTTTCTGCACGCGCGGCAGGCGCAGGACGTAGCAGTGGCAGGGAAGATGAGGAAGAAGAAGAAGGCAGGCAGGCAGGCAGCAGAGGCTATGGGGACGGGAAGGGACGGATAGTACACAGCACAAACACAATTGATCCAAGACGACGGTGTGGCCGGGCAACCTCACCCGGTGTCCCTGGCTCGGAGTTGGCGATCGAGCGAGCGCAAGGGACACGCGAGGCGGGCGGACGATGGGTCCTTACCACCAAGGGGAAGAACCGAGGAGAAAGGGAGGCGCCGCAGCCGCTTATATCGATCGGCGGGCAGCCGGCCACGCACGGCAGCGCGAAGCTAGCTTAGCACACCACCACCAGCCTGTCGTCCCTGACTCCCTGTCGATCGCGAGCTAGTAACGGGCTAACGGCCGGCCTGGGGGCAGCCAAAATTAGGGCCTGCTGTCTGTCTGTCCGTGCTACCTGCCCGCCTCTGGATTGGTTTGGTTTGGACGTTTGGCATGCACGCCGCGCCATGGCTGCCTCTCCCTTTTAACGTCCGGCGCGAGCCACACAGCCGCGCGCGGGCGCAGCAGTGTCCAGAGAGCCACTCTCTGTGTGAGGCCGTCCCTCCCCTGGTGCGCCGCGAATCGAGGGGCAGGGCTGAGGATGCATGGCCACACGTCAAAGCGCCCCTGCCGTCTCAGGTGCGCGCCATGCAACCGCGCGACGTCGTCCGCCCGTCGCGCGCTCATGCTGCCGTGGAAGAAGATTGCGATCGCAACGGCCAGCAGGGCTCTCTGCTTGGCCCAGGTAACCGTGCTTGCTGGACTTTGGGCTGGACCTGGGCCACATATACGGATGCGGTTATGTTTATTTGGTCTGTGGCCCGGGACTAGCTTTCCTATCTTCTCTACTATACGAAATCAGGGCCAAGGTTCGGGCGGTGGATATGGCCACATCGCCCGCTAACGCGTACGCCGTTGGCTAGCGATGAAGCAATGTGATCCGTCCGATTACTGGTCGATTCGGGCCTCCATTCAGTTTCGCTGCGGACCCGAAACATCCGAACCTTCTCGCACATCGGCTCGTCCTCCCGTGCTCCCTTCCAGACCCAAGTCCCGATGCCGCGGCTCCTCCGCCGCCGCCGCCCCCATACCCGTCCTCGCCCCTGTCCAGGCCGCGCTACCGGGCGCCACCCCCGCCGCCGTTCGCCACCCGCTCCCCAGTCTGAGGCCGCCCCGCCGTTCGCCGCGAGCGTTAGAGAGCGGCGCGAAGACGAGGGCCACGTCCCCGCGCTCGGCCACGGCCACGGTGCGAAGTCGAGCGGCGCGACTCCGCCGCCTGGGCATGGCCGCGGTACTGGAGGAGAGCGGCGCCAAGACGTGGGCCGCGGCGCTTGCGCTGGAGGAGTGGAGGAGATGGCATCGAGTTCTCACCTGCGTTCACTGCTGCAACCGATCAACACTCATCTCGCACCGCTCGCATCCACTTGATCCAACCGCTGGACCTGAAGGGAAATTATTCCACGACGTCCGCGACGAATTGGCGGCGGTCGCTCCTCGCCTTGTCGATGCTCCTGGCGTCCTGTCCCCTCCCCTCCCCGCGCATGTCTCCGGCTGCTAGTTGATACATGCAGGCAACGAGGGGCGTGCCACACTGCGAGGTACGTCTCCTGCTACCCACCTCTGTCTATTCAAAGCACATACGCACAACAAGTGTTCGATGCTTTGCCTCTATGAGATGATTGTTGAGTTTGAACCTGAAATATATGTGCAGATAGATGACTGCTATTCTGCTAGTCACCTACTAATAGACTATTGCCGTGACGGCACTTGATGTCATCTATAAGGACCTGGACGACTTTTGCCATGGTCTACTGAATCCATGCCGCCGTCTGGTCCACCTCCAGTGCTCATACTGCTGCATTACATTAAGATTATTTAAAATTTGGAAATTTGGAATGGGACAAACTATTGGCAGACTGAATTTTCTTTGGACAAAGACATATGAAAGTACATACATAAAACATTCTGCATTTTGGTTGCTCAGGAACATATTTACAGCAACATGTTAGGGCTACAGTATATGGAAATGCAGATTATTTAGCTATTGTTGCTTTATCGTGCCATATGACATGAAAAATACATGTGTAGGTAACTAGGTTCTTTGTTTTGTTTTTGCCCTTGAGATGGGATTGGATCATCCTTTGTCAATTCAAAATAAAAAAAAACAAAAGAGACCGCCTTGATTTATACAAAACCTAAGCTCTCCAAATATTTAGTAAAGATTTGATTATTGAGGTATCTGATGGCTTTGCAGTTCATTTGAATTCAACGTCCTTTCTTAGCAGAAGGCCAATGACAAATAAGCATTTCTCAAACAAATATGCTTTGTTTATGATAGGTGAGAATTTGCACACAGATAACCTTTTTTGACTGAATGTTTCTCGGAGTTATTTCTATTTTGCTTTTCATAAACCAAATTTCTGATGAAAGAAAATATTCATATACTCACACTGCTTTTTCTAGATCTATATTATTGATTAATTTATGATAAATTTTGTGAAGTTCATTTCATTATGTCTTATGCTTAGACACTTTTGGCTTTTTAAAAGTTCAAGAGCACAAGTGCCTAAATTCAGAGTTGACAAATGCATGTGCAGGCCCTATTGTTTTGTTGCATGCTGTCAGTAGTCGAGTGCAGTGTTTCCCTCCAGGCCACAATTTCTTTTCTTTGGATTTCAGCAAATAGCAAAAACAAGCCTCCTACTATCTCAGGTTGCCTCTATAGCTTAAATGCCTACTCCATAATACTTTGTTACATTTCTTCTTAACTGTTAAGGCTGATGAGGCCTATGTACAGACAACACTGCACCCACTAAACTCAGTAATAAAATTTCTCATGAAAACATTGATATTTGTTCATCAAACATAAGGGTTATCTTACAGATCTAATGATATTGAAAAAACAACTGTAGGATTTGTACCCTTACATAAAAAATTTGATTAGTTAACAACTTAACATCTAAAGTTGTTGAACCCTGTGGGGGATAGACCCCCGGGTACCACAAGATGGTACATGGGCCGCACCATCCGAGGTGGCCCGGCCCGTGAGATCAAGGCGTGCACGGCGCTGCTTGGCGTGCACCGCAAGACATTGTAATAGTACCAAATAGGATACTTTACTTGTAACCTTGTCCCTTCGGAGTATATAAGGAGGGGCAAGGGTCCCCTAGAGGACGGATCCATAGAGATCATACAGTATACATCTCAATACAATACACCAAAGACACAGGACGTAGGGTATTACGTCGATCAGACGGCCCGAACCTGTCTAAATCGCTGTCTCTGCGCCTTGTGTCACCATCTGGTTCCTGATCACATGCATCCTACCGATAATCTACCACCACGGGCACCCCCCCTCGGTGGACTGCCGACCATATTTCGTCGACAAACCCTGGCCGGGGCCACAACTGAATTAGCTCACGAACATGACCTGATTATCCAAGTTGAGGTCCAAGAAAACTACTATATTGGACAAATGCATTTATCAGAAAACAACAGAACATGACATTATCAGACAGTATCTACTATGAACAAAAGTACCCGTATGTATCTCTTGCTTTTATTTCTACCAGTCTTATCATTGTGATCTCCACACTAAGCATGCCTTTTTCTTTCCTTTTTAATTTTAAATTATCTCTACTATATTGAGTGTTTACCAATCACTCGAGATGGGTCAACAACTAGCCGTAAATCATCATAGTGACGGATCAGTATTTGGAATTTAAAATTCTAAAGCATGGTGAAATTAAGATCTAAGGGACACTCCATCGTTACACACCGGTTACTACCATTGCTTTCAACGTTCTCAAAGGAATCAACATCAATATGGAATCCCAATGGCACTGGCTCATTGAGATCCTTCCAGCTTGGGTCTCATGAAGTGTCAAGTTCTTGGACTGTTATGCGTGGAGCACTCTTGCTATGTAAAGTTCTTTTAGTTATTTAATCCTCTTGGATTATGAACACCTTTGGTAGATCAAGAAATCTATGTAATGGTATTGTTTTCTTAAATTTGAGAACTTGTATGTTGGGTCAATCAATATACTTCCCAAAATTTTGGTGTGCTACACTATGCTGCATTTATACACATATTTTCACCTATTTTTAAAATACGCACTGTCTACTCAGATAATTTGCTGAATTTTAGAGTTCGGCTACAGCCATAGCGTCTCAAGATCTAGTAATTGTTTATACTTGACTACTCAAATGACTTGCTACCTTTCTTTCTTTTAACAAAAAGAACACCAAGGGATTTGCCATGATTTTTTTGAGGAGGATTTGCAGAGATTTATGTCAAGGTAAAGATCTCAGTGCTCTACTCAGCTTCCACAAACCCAACATGACAACATCGGCTGGTTTTATAAACACCGACAGTAAACCTCCCCTTTGTGTCAGCACCATAACACGAAATGAGACCCTAGCTCTAAATGAGACCTCTGCTTATGTAGTAGTTTCCTGCGTTTTAGTTGCTCCCTGTGCTCCATGTTTTAACTGTCTTCCCTATCTAAATTTGACCAGATGTGTATATTGAAAAATACAATTTTCAAGGATACTAAATAGGCTCCATTGTTCAGTTCTTTTTTAGTATACGTTATTTACATGATTGTAATTAGCTCTCATGTTTTGCCATACTCTGATAGCTTCTTCTAAAGAAGTCAACAACAACTTCCACTAGGGTTAAGATACTAGATCAGGAGGGACACTACAGTGGTTGCACGCATATGCTGGTG